ATTCTTTCTCTCCACACAACGCCCAGCCCATTTTTTTCACTTTTAGACAAGGTTTTGCCACATGCGGACTTTCCGTGTGAGGGTTAAAATCAGAGATTGGATGTTTAAGAAGAAAAACAAAATGAAAATTGTATGACACCCTCAGTAGGGGGTATTTTGAAAGATAACTTGGGATGGTTTGCCTGAAATGTACGGCCAGGGAATGTTTACCCGTGGAAGGTCGGTAGGTTCTCCCTCTGAGAATTCCTGATGGAAAATGACAGCACTGTGTACCTAGGGACAAGATTTCAGGCTTTCAACCCAGAAATAGTCAGGATCAAGGCTGCCACCTCATGCAGGAAGCACTCTGCATTTTCTGTTTCTGTTATTCTTGGGAAGTTTCAGGTTGTTACCTTCAATTTTTAGATCCTATCTTTATTTCCTAATCAGCTGCTCTACTGCTTTACAACTTATGTGCCTAAATTGATTAGTTAGTTCCAAATGCTACGAAGGCCCCTCCCTCAGGAAGAACTCGATGTTACTGTGAAGACCCTGATAGATTTACCTGCTTTACCAGACACCTCTTGGGATGGCGGCCAAGTTCACACTACTTTTTCCTCTCGGGAAAGACTCCCACACAGGGCTAGGTCCTGAGTGATCATATCTGAGCCATACAATCTTGTAATCTTTGCTGCAGATGAGTGGTTTGAAAAATTTTATGTGTCAGAATCGGCTGGAGGACTTGTTAAAACACGGACTGTGGGACCCAGCCCTAAAGTTTCTTTTCCAGTAGGTCTATGGGTGGGGTTCAAGCGTTTGCATTTCTAACAAGTTTGCAGGTGATACTGAGGCTGCTGATCTGGGGTCCACACTTTAAGAATCACTACCACACATGATTAAGTTAGGGCAAGTTACTCTAAGATAGGGCAACCACCTTCTCTCAGACATTTGTTGTCTTTAGATTTCAATCACAGCTGACATTCAATATTATGTTAGTTTCAGGTGTACACCAGAGTGATTTGACATTTATATGCTTCACAAAATGATCACCCTGTTCAGTCTAGTACCCATCTGACACCATACATAGACACAGAGACACAGAGACTAGAGGCTATTAGAGTAATGATCTGGCAAGAAGGTCCAAAACCCACCACTGTTCAGGTTCTGAGAGCTGGTCTAGTTCCTGTTCTTAGGTGGCGCTTTGGTTGCTCAATCCTTTGAATAAATTCTACCCTTTTTTTTTTTTTTTACATTTTGCATAAGCTGGCCCTAGAAAGCTGGCCCCTAAAACAACTTGAACCAAGACATAAGTGTATCAGTTATATGTTCCACCATGAAAACAAAAACCATTCTAAGTATTTAAAACAGGGAATTGATCTCACGGGTGATAGAAGGTCTGAGAAGACAAACGCTCAGTGAGAGGTAAGCAAGAGCAGGAAGCTACCTCCACCCTTAGGCTGGAGGGACAAAGGGAGATGGTGGTGTTAACAGAGGCTGGGGTGAACTGGAAGATGTTGGAACCACGACAGACCAGTCCAACAGAAGAAATGCTGCTGAGGCTGCCAGAAACATCACCCAGTGCAACTCGGAGGAGGTGGAGAAATAGCCTGGCTTCTTCCTTCCTCCTGCCTCCCATCTCCCAGCAGAGCTCTCCATGCTGAGGAGCTTGGGGAAGACAGCCTGTGATGCTGACAGCCTGGGGCGCTGCAGGAGGACAGGGTATAAATCTGAAAACAAGCCAAGAACCAGCACTGTTCAATCTGAATTTCTCATTTTTTCCTTCTAAGTGCATTTTGTCTACTTACAAATTAGTGAGATAATGTGTGCATGCCATATAATTTCTCATAGTTCCTTGTTAAGAATAAGATTTTTTTAAAAAAATTCAAATAGGTTTCTATTAACTTGTTCCATAATTAGGGGTGACATTTCTGAGATATAACCTTTAGGGGGAAATTGCAAATGATAACAAGAGTTAGCATTTGTATACTTCTTTTCAATTTGAAAAGTGTTTTTACATGTCTCATCTAATGTAATCCTCAAAATCCTTGTGAAGTAGGTTATATTATTAGCCCCACTTTTAAAATAAGGAAACCGAGGCTCAGAAAGAATGAGCAAAATCACCTTGCTCAAAAGTGGTAAAATGGCACAATACCAAACCTGGTCTCAAGCATACGAGTAGAACCTCAATTGTTGCAAAACACCAAGCTATTGTGTGAAAACACATGCAAGGCTACAAACTTAAAATTCTTTCTCTGTTGATGTCTCATTTCTTCCCTTATCTAAAATCCAACAGCTAGAGTAAAACCTTGTAACCAGAACTGAGAGATTATTTTGAAAGATCAGCAAAATACCCCATGGAGCCTTTCTCCCTTCTCTACCTGTAGGTCGACTAAATCTGTTCTCAGTGGTCCCACAGGTTTCTAATTAATAGACAGTGATTATGGGACAAGGCCTTTCATATAAGATCATTCTAGGATTGCAGCAGTCATTTAAAAAGAAAAGAAGAAAAAACCTAAAGAAACCCTTGGACTGAGAATATAAATTAAGCTAGACAGAGTGGGTATGTTTGGAAATAGTCACTTAGAAAGAATTAAATACAAAAACATATAATGAGTTAATGAGTGTGTGTGTGTGTGTGTGTGTGTGTGAGAGAGAGAGAGAGAGAGAGAGAGAGAGAGAGAGAGATCCCTTCTGTCTGCATAGAAATTAAGCTTCTTCCGGACCCAGGTCCACAGACTGCATTTCTGACGCTGAAGAGCCATCTTTGTTTCCCCTGGTTACCAGTGAAACAGTGTGTGGGGATCTGTTCAAATTCATCATACTTATAGCAAAATGCTTCCAAACACAATGCCTTGCTTTCAATATCTATTATCTATATTTATATCTATTTAATAGGGAAGATGCTCACGCATGCACACCCACACATTCCTGTGCTTCTACTCTATTGTGTATAGATGTCCTTTATATATGGAAATGAGCTGTATAATATGACATAGCCCTATAATATTAATTGCTACAGAGATTAGGTTGGTTTTTTTTTAAGGCAGATACCATCTTCTCCTTGATTGCTGAAGACCCAAGCAAGAGAGCTTGCTGTAAGGTGATTTGTCCTATGAAGTTAGTCCTCAGCGTGTGCATCCATAATATGCTTTTATCTATAAGGATAAGTCCTGCTTTTATGGAGAATCTCCACATCCAATTTAACTCAATAAATTTCAGGCTCACTGATTATATTCCCATCTAAAAGCTTTACACAGTTATAAAACTAGGAGAGCCTTTAGAATCATCCCAGGTCAAGTTACTTTCTGAATATCTTTCCACAATGAACTGCAATACATTAAGCTTACCCATTAGCTAGAATATCATGGATGGTTCTCTTGATCTGACGGCCAATGGAACATTTGTATTGTCTGGGTTCCATTTAAGACAATATTTGGAATGGACGGGATAGCTCAGAACAGCAGAGCAACATTCAAAATCATCTTCTTTCAGTGGGGAAAAATGTGAGGAATGGCCTTGTTCAAAGAAAATCAGAATTCAACACTAAAACACCTCTCTCAGTAGAATAAAGCATTTTCCTTTCCCCTGAGATCCTCAACTAGTTCCATGAATACTTTTCTTTTGAATCCAAGATATTGTTCCACAATGAAATGAGAAAATAAGAAAACTTCCACCAACAATTAGGTGGAGAGTTGTTTAAAAATATTGTGAACTTACTTTTCACAAGATGTACAGTCCACTAGAGATTTTGCTAAGAAATAGGGGTGTGAACTCATCCTTATATGTGATTGTGACATCAAATGCCATTGTAACGTACTCTAGCTTTCCCACTGGAATAACTGATGCATTGATTTTTTTTTTCATTTAAAAAGACACCTTGAGATGTGTTCCCAATAATTTCTTCATAATATTTGGTATTCATTGAACAATGAAAAATGGCACGGAAAAATTTTACGTATTAAAAATAAAATGTTCGTGAAGGTTCAGGATTCTGATACACACCTTTTGCTTACCTTTAAACATTTAGGTGTACTAAGATCATGACAATTCTTGAATAGCATGGTGGTGTTTGGTTTAGGTCACTTAAAAATATTTGAAGAGAAAGGTATGGAAAATGAGGGGAGAGTGTTAGGGATTTAAAAGTACATGTGTATGTATATATGTTATTAAAACTTTAGAAAAAGATGTCTTCCTGGGAGTTGAGAGCCATCAGAGCGGGAAGCCCACTGCAGCAAAGAACAAAAGCATGGCTGCGCGACAGTATTATCTCTGCAGCAGCAGCAGCAGCAGCAGCTCCCTGAGGGAGGGCTGCGGCGATTGTCTTGTCTACTACACTGCATTTTTATTAGTGACAGCCTCCGTTATTCTGTCAGCTCAGCCAACTAAGCAGTTCCTCGCGAACTCCGTTAAATGGCAGAAGGAAAGAGAAGACAGAAAGGTGAATTGTACCAAGTGGGACTCCTGCGGGGTCTGCTTCGCCTCATCCTCCGGGACACGGGGAAATTCCCGGACCGCATTTAACCCAGAAACCCGTGCTTCCTATTAATTAGTTGCTATGCGTAGGGAAGGCAGTGAAAGGCTTAATCTTTTCTTTCCTACTGAGGCCAACAGAACAGGGTTGGTCAGAGCTGCCTGGCCGGTGCACACTAGCCCCGGACCCGTGGAGGACCCTCAGAGCCCGCACAGGGACGAGTGGAGGTCAAGTCAAAGAGCACCACGGCAGGGTTCTCCTGGTCTCTCTCCCGCGCTGTCCGCAGCTTAGCCTCTGCACAGCCACCGCGAACACTGCAAGGCTGTAGGGAGGGGAAGGCGGGGTCCCGGCGGAGGCGGGACTAGGGGGCGGGGACGAAGATGCCGAGGGATGCGTCGGGAAGTGTAGTTGTGCTAACCTCGGTAGCGTGGCTACCGGGGCTCTGCTTGCGGTATTGGGACTACAACTACCAGGAGTGTATGGGCCGGGCCGCGGAGTCCATGCGCACTGGGCGCTACATTGTATCCTATCAGCAGAGGAGAGGGTGATGTCACCTGCGGGTTGGTAACCTACGAGCGGCTGTGAAGGAAACTGTTTAACCGGATCCCATTGTACCCGGAGCGCAGAGCCGCCTTTCCAGCATGCAGGGGCTGCTCAGGTAAGGGGGATGCGCCGCCTCGTCCGCCGCACTCATTCATTAAGTGGCACCGCGCGGTGGCGCGGGGGTGGGCGCGCTTCTTCGGGCCGGGCTCTGGGTTTGCGGCGCGCCCTCCCGCTGCCTCCCTGGAGCTCCCGGGCCAGTAGGTAAATATTAAACCCGTCCTTCAGGTTAGGTCTGGGTGGGAACAGGACCTAGACAGCTCCAGGCTGCCAAGCTGGATTTGGAAAAATGGCTGCAAGCGCGGCGCAAAGCACTGCGAGCCCGGAGGAAGGCGCCCCAGAGGATGAGGGTCCCTCCCTCCTTTCTTTCAGAGGCGCTCGGATGCCAAGAGAGCAGGCAGGGTACCAGGTACAGCCGTCTTGCTACAGGCACCCCGGGGATGGGGCGCTGGGGGGTCGTGGCCTCGGCTGCGGATTGCGGGCACTGCTGCTGTCGGGAGCTTCTGGCCGAGGAGGCTCAGAGAGGCAGAATCCGGAGGCACGCTTGGTGGATTCGGAGGTGGCGACAGAGAAGAAGGGACCCTGAGCAGAACCTCCACCATCCCTGACACCCTCACTAAACGCTTCATTCGAAAGGGATGGGGTGACCGTAATTCAGGCAAAGTTGTAAGCTGGAGGTTTCAAAAGAGACAGGAAGGGAACCCCGCGTTGCAGAAGGAGCAAGGGGTGTTGGTGCACAGCGGCGAGGGGAGGCTGCGCCGCCTGCGGACCGGTTTGGAGGAGACTCAGACCGCTCCTGTCCCCAGTCCCTCCGGGGAGGGCGCATCTTGGTCTCCCCTGCACTGATTGCTCCCTCGACAAAGAGCACCTGAGCCGCGGCGAAGGGTCTACCCAGAACTCCGGGTTGGGAGGTGGTAAAGCGTGGGGGTGTGAAATAATCTAATGATAAGGCTCGCTTGTGGGGCAGGCGGGCTGGGTAATCGGGCTTTCCCAGCTGATGCCGAAAATCCAACTGCTTGTGATCCACTTGCCCTCGGATTGGAGACGTGCACGAGGCCCGAGAACTCTATCAAGCCCTCCGGATTTCCTTTCCCTGCCTCTAGCGCTTATTCTTTCACGTACTCTCATTCATCAAAACCCTGCTAAAGGCTCTGCTCTCAAGTTGCTCACAGCCTGGGTTTGGGGTGTTCTGTCTCTTGCCCTCATAAAATATTTTAGTGGGCCCAGGAATAGGTAACCTACATTCCATTTTTTCCCAAGCCTGCCCTCTTGATCCCCATCTCCACCCGCAGGTGAGCATCGAGAGCAAATGCCACCCGTGACGGTTTTGCTCCCATTAAGCTGGTAGTTTCTTGAGGCTCGAGAAAGACTTAGTGAATTGAAGCGGAGTTTCCCTGCAAGATGAATCCCGTTGCCATGGCGACTCCTGCCGTCGGAATCTTAACTGCTCTCACTGCTGTTTCAATTCGATGTGGCTCTGCTGGCAGCTGGGAGGGCGTGGCCTGTGGGTGTGGTCAAGCGCTTGCTTTGGGCCCAGCTGCTTTCTCCTCCTCGCCCCTTTCACAGCCCTGGGGATCTGTCCATTCTCGTGTAAATAAATAGCTTGGACACATTTCTTAGCCCCCTTTCTCTCTGGAGTTTCCATACCTGGTCTCTCCACCCTCCTCCCCAGAAATACTTGTTTGGAGCCTTTTTCCCGAGACAGACTCTGAAAATTACACTTGAAACGTGTCTTTCCCCTTTCAGGCTAGCTGCCTCGTTTTCCTAGTAACCTGTATTATAGTGTTGGAGGCATCTTTCTCAAGGAAGGAGCTCTCCCTTCTGCTTGAAGACAGCTCTTTGGCCACCAGTAAAGGTCCTCAGTTTGCCCGAGGTGCAACTCAGCTTTTATGGACAAGAACTGAAATTGAATTCTGGAAGTCACTGCCATCCCTTGTGGTTCTGATAAAATCTAAAAGCCTGGCTGGGCTGGGTCCTACACTAGTCTGTCATTACTGGCTACCCCACTGTGAGGTTAAAACCCATTACCTCTGGGGACCTTGGTCCTTGGTAATGTGGGGAGAGGGTACAGAGAGTTTCCTGAAGTTGATTCTAGGTATAAAATCTTGTGACTCTAAGAAGGACTTGGTCATTGTCTTTTATTTTTCTCAAAGAAACCTGAACACTGGAGTTTAAACCCAGCTATGGACACTGAGCCTTACTTGTATGGAAAAATAATGTGGCTCTAAATGGCAGTCCTTCCAAGTGGGCAAGGTAGCCATGTTACTGTTTGTAATATTATCTCTAATACTGCTGTTAATAACCCAGGATCTGGACTGTTATTTATCCTTTTATCTTAGAATTGTTTAGGTTTTTGCCTTTTTACAGATTCTTTACGAATGCCATTATTTGTGATGTAATTGCATTAAGTATAATTAAATATCACAAATATTTTTGTTTTCCTTCTGCTTTCATTTCATACCAAGGTTGATTATCACAGATATTGCCATGAAGGAGTGTGTGTGTGTGTGTGTGTGTGTGTGTGTCTGTAAGCATCTCTCTATGTGTGCAGGTAAATAAATGCTGGTGGATGCTGTGTGCCAGGTGGTTGACATTCATCATCTCTAAGAAGTAGGCGGTTACATCCCCATGAGGAAATAGGATGAGAAGTTGTCACTTACTCTTTTTTTGAGGGGGGAAGAAGGGTGTCTGAGAAGTCTACATTTATTATAGGTCTGGATCCAGAATCACTCACTCTTTATTTTTGTCCTAGAGCTTATCATTAACTGAAAAAAAACTCCTGTAATTATCTGTTTACTTCCTATCTCCCTATAATTCTGACACCAATGCCAATGTATGGGTCCCCCCCCCACTCCTCTAAGATCTTTGAGAGCAGGGTCTTTGTCTTGTCTATCCCTGTCTCTCCAGTGTTTAAAGCAGTTTTTGTCATGTAGGTATTTAGTAAATATTTGTTGAGTCAATATAAAGTGTAGAGCCATGACTGGAGATCCAAGATCTGTATAATTTCCACTGATAGTTCTGTCATCAATTGTAATATTCCTCTTAGCTTTCTGTCAAGCAGTTTCATCTCAGCATAAGCCAAAACTCCTGTGTAGCATGTGATTTGAAGTATAGAAGGCCTTCCATGTGTTTGAAATAGAGACATATTTCATAATTATTTGCTCTTGGAACACATTCACCCACCGAGACTTTTCTCCTTCTACAATTCTTATTACCCTAAACCAGACGTTTCTAGATTCCTGTCGATTGTACTATCCTTGGCCCAGGTAACTTGCCCAGGAAGTGTGTGATGGGAGAATAGAGATAGAGACTAAGACAAAGATACCTGGAAGCTTTCACCAGGCCACCAAGTGGCTCCCAGGGTACCATCTGGGTAGAAGAGTGAACAGTAACGCTCTCATCTGGGATGGAGCTGTTCTATAGACAGGATCAGGCATCCTGGGCTGGTTGACGTGAGAGAGGAACAGGGTGGGAGACATTTGGCCAACATTTGTAACATCCAGTAAGTCGGGTTCTGTGTGTTTTCAGAAGTATAAATTAGTGAGGAGGTGATAGTAAAGGGTGTGGTGGGTCATGTCCTTGGGTGGTGCTTACAGGAGCTCAGTGAATAGGTGCCAAGGAATTTGGATCCTGGCTTTCTTGCTTTGTGGACACGCTCTAGGTGTTAAGAATGTGTGTTGTGTGTGTGTGTGTGTGTGTGTGTGTGTGTGTGTGTGTGTGTGTGTGTGTNTGGATCCTGGCTTTCTTGCTTTGTGGACACGCTCTAGGTGTTAAGAATGTGTGTTGTGTGTGTGTGTGTGTGTGTGTGTGTGTGTGTGTGTGTGTATGTGTGTGGTTTTATTTGAGCTATTTTATTTAGAAGGCTGCAATTGGTGTTGGCAGTATGATCATTAGAACAAATAAGGTGTTTACAAACAAAATGTAGTTAAAATTGAGAGTGTTGCACTTTGTAAATATTTTGGGGATGGTATAAAGAGTGGCTTTGGCCTCAGAAGCTTGAGTTCTGTGAAATCACTTACAGCTGTTGGATCAGGGGAAACAAGCTTTTCCAACAAAGCTTGGTACCACTGAGAGCCTTAGGTGTTTGGTTCAGGAAATAATCACAGAGCTTGTAACTTCTGTGGGGCCCTTCTGGCCTCGTGTCATGCTCCTGGTATTTCCAAGTGTTAAGCCTATCCTTATGTTGCAGGAAACAAAGCAACGTTGCCAATTTAGGTTAGCCACCTTGCTTAACCCCTAGGAGGGGCACCAATCAAAATGAAAATGCCTCTGTTTTAAATTTTTCTCCTTTGGATAAGGAAGGCTACTGTCACTTATTTTGACATTATGATTTCTAACTTGGTAATGGAGGAAATGTAAACGAATGTATAAGTTAAACACTCACAGCTTCAGTTATTAGTGGTTTCTACCTCTGTTGAAGTGACATTCATTAGCAAGTGTACTGTCTTTTTATATAGATTTTGCTTAGGGTAACAGAACTGCTGATAGAGTAGAAGTGAAGGACGCATCTGAAGTGCCCTCCCCAACCTTCCTCCAAGCCACTACTTAGTACCCCCACTGAAAGAAGGACAGATGACGATGAGATACAAGTTGATTTTGGTGACCTACATTCCACTCTAGCAGACTATTTCAGCAGCAAAAGAAAAAAGTGTTTACCTTTTCTTTTTCTGGCATCTTTTCCACTGTTCCATGAACAGAGAACTGAGCATTTCAGAGTACGTTTGCGTTTCATAGTACATGAGTTAAACGGGAAATCCCAGCAGCTCAGCAACAAGCATACAGAGCCCCCCTCCTGCCCCCCCCCATTATACTGAGGTTACCAAATATACCCTCCTCGGCTCTGGTGAGCTTATTTTCCTTGTTGATGTTGAAGCTCGCCTGGTGTTTACCTCCATCTGTGACCTTCTGCAGTAATGGCTGTCCTAACCTGGACCGTGCACTCATCTGTCTTCATTCTCCTTGTGCCTCCAGATTCAGCTTGAGTGCCACAGCTTCCAGGAAGTCTTCCCTGCCTGTCCTTCAGCTTTCAGCACCCCCTCTGCTCCTTCCTCCTTAGAC